TATTTTTAAATAAAAAGGGTCCATTAATTTTCAAATTTCTAAAAAATGACATCAGGTGGCACTGTTTCACAAGAAAATAAATTGGCTCCAATCTATATAGCCTGTTCACAAACAGAAAAGTAGCAACTGTAGGTTCTTAGGTCTTAAAACATTATTGCTCAGCAGAGACTATTTACAAACACAGCTGTCAATAAACCTACCTTTCCTGAACATTTTTTCCAACTATGCATTTGGGCTAAAAACCACTTAGAGCACAAATCATTAATTTCTTTATTTGATCCAGTGGAATAATGATATTGTATAGCTTTGCTAGCATCAAATAAATTAGCATATCTGCCATTCCTTGCATGTCCAAGCCTGATTTAAGTAGATTTGCCAATGACTAAAAATTCCTCCCAAGCTGAACTAAAGGCTCTGGGTAACAACTTCTTAACTTAGCTGGCTTGTTCTTTTCAAAATTCTAAAAGGAATGACTGAGTCTATGAAACTGTTAAGGCTATGAAAAACTAAACTTTAAAAGAAAGATAAAAAGTCATAATCAGTGATGGAGAAGAACTAAAAAAAAAGGAGGACTGGGTTATTATTAGGACCAGCCAAAATGGCACAAAAATTTGCATATGTTATCGTTCTTCCTCTTTGTGTCCCCCTAAAAGTGAGGAATAGGGAAAAGAAGCCAAAACATGCAGTCAGATATTTCTGATCTGAAGTCTACGATTCAACATCAAGCCTAAAACTTGACATTATTAGCTACATTCATTGTATTATTGAAGTTGAGTTATGCCTAATTTTAGGAACAAAATAAATGGTTGCTTCTCCCATGTTGGCGTTGGAAGAAATTTCTTGAGTTTGTTCCCAATTGGGACACATCACAGATGCTGAGAAGAAATGGATGCAGAAGCCAGCTGCCAGAAAGTGGAAGTCTTTTAATGTAGGAAGACAAGAAGCAAAAAGTGACACAGCTTGAGCATTTCTAGCTTGCAAGCAGCTTGGTAGTTGAATCTGAGCCTTTTATGCTTAAATCCCCTTCAAAGTTCCTGCAGCTTGATGGATTTTGGTGGGTTTCTGATTGCCCTGGGTTTTGTTTTCCTGGGTTAATCTTGGTCCCTGGTCTTTTGTTTTTCCTGTCCTAAGGGTTAATTCTGTGGGGGGGGGGGGAGGAAGAGGGTTTTTTGGTTTACCTTGAAGAGTTTATTTTTAGCCTGATTCCCTTATCTTAATGGCTCTACTTAAGTGTTTCTGTTACTTTTCTGTTACTTTTGTAACAGCCATTAGCAGGGCTGCTCTAAGTTTTCCTTTCAACTGGTGCTTCTTGGTTTTCTTAAAGGGGTAAGGGTTGGCTTGAGTCTCTTAGCACTGTTTTCTGAGGTGATGGTGCTGTCTTTTGGGGTGTACTTCCTACATTGGAAAACACAAAAGTTATTACATTTCAATCTGTCCCCCACCCTAGGAAATGCCCTGGCTTGGAAGAAAGCAGAAACAATGAAACATCTATCTTGAAGCAGCTATCTTTTCTAATACAACAATGGAGACTTTAACTGGAATTTGGACAACTTTCCCCGATTTAGCATGCTTCATGATTTCTTTTCTACCAGAATCCTTTTTCTAAACTTATTTCACATTTAGGAAGCTCCTCCTGCATAGAGGATTTACAGGTAGAAGGGCAGCAATTTTTATTTATTTACATTTTATTTTATTCTACTTTATTTATGCCCCTCTTTTTAAAAGGAGCAATGCTTCCTTCCAGCAATGAATGCTATATTTTACACATTAAGTTTTGTTGGCTTTAATATCCCCCCCCCACCCCCCCAAAAATGGGATATTAAGCACTTTTAAATTGAGAGTCCAAAATGCTAAAACATTCTTTGCACCCAAATGAAATATTGGAAAGAAATTACAATACGTAAAGTTACTCAAGGCTCCTTTGTTTATCTGTGTGTCAGGATGATAAATCTGAAAACTGAGAAGAAAAGCTGTTTGGGGAGAAAATATGTTTGAAAATGGGTTGGTTAAAAAATTCAACTGGTTGGTTAAAAAAATCAATTTGAAAATGTAATTGCAGCAGGTTTAGAATAAGTTATAAAGAAGGGCAGAAGTCACTTCTTTGGCAATATTTTTTTTCTCTTTAATTAAATTGTTTTCTGCAGGTTTTTCCTTTTTTCTTTGATATATTTCTGTATTTGTTTTCTAGCTCAATAAAAAAACTCTTTTAAGATACACATGCACATATACACATGCACATATACACACACACTTTAAAAATGGAGTAGATCTGGCTGGAGATTGCAGAGAGAAGAAATTCCCTAATGCATTCTTAGTGTAAAGGAGAGATAGCTCAGCAAATGCTGGAAAAATTAGAATGTTCCATTTAACAGATAACAGATAAACAGAGTTGGAAGGGACCTTTTAGGTCATCTAGTCCAACCCCACACCGCCCAAGCAGGAGACCATACATCATTTCTGACAAATGGCAGTCCAATTTCTTCTTGAAAGTCTTAAGTGATGGCGCTCCCACAACTTCCGAGGGCAAGCTGTTCCATTGGTTGATTGTTCTCACTGTCAGAAAATTTCTCCTTAATTCTATGTTGAATCTCTCCTTGATCAGTTTCCAACCATTATTCCTTGTCTGGCCTTTGGGTGATTTAGAACAGCGGTCGCCAACCAGTGGCCAACTGGTAGACCGTGAGAAAATGTTGGTGGGCCACAGAGAAATCTCACCCCCAGAGCACCTCCCCCAAAGCAATTAATCCAGGCTGTTCAGAAACACAAGGCACACCACCCACATGGCCCACAGGAACCCTCCCTGCCCACTCACTCCTTACCCGGCAAACTTGCCTGCTAAATTGCTGTTTTTCCTTTTTCTGACCATCATCTGTTCTCCTGTGCCGGGAGATTTAGATTAGCTAGGAAGCAGGAAATGGTTGGATTTCTTGCTTTCTAGCTAGTCTTTAGAATCTTCCGCTCTGCTTTTAAGCACAGCCGAACCTCCCTTAGGACTGAAGGTTCTGTTTAGTGCAGAAGGCAAGCAAATTTGAGAGACTGAGCTAGCCGATGGCAGAGAGATACATCACAGGATGATTCTGTGAGCAACTCAATCTGCCTGCCTGCTTTGCCTGGTTTTGGGTAAATGTTGCTCTTTTTTTATAAAAAAATTCAATATTTATATAAATATTTATAATATTTACATACAAGCCATGCCCAGCCAGTCACATGACCACCAAGCCACAGCCACAAATTAGGCCACACCCACAGAACTGGTTAGTGGTCCCTGGGATTTAAAATTATGAGTTTGGTGGTCCCTGAGGTCCAAAAGGTTGGCAAACCCTGATTTAGAAAATAGCTTGACCCCTTCCTCTCTGTGGCAGCCCCATTTCAAGCCCCTCCACTTTCCTTCAAAGTCATGTGAACCACAGGCCTAAAATTAAAGTATTTATGTATTCAATTTTTATGCCATTTTTTTTATAAATAACTCAAAACAAATACACCTAATAATTATTTTTTCTTGTTTTCTCCACAAGCAAACCACAAGGGGTTGGCTTGCGGAGGTAGATTGGACCAAGAGAGTGACTGGTTCAAGGACGTCCAGCTGGTTTTTATGCCTAAAGCAGGACTAGAACTCACCATTTCCCGGTGTCTAGTATTAGAAGAAATTTCAGAATCCATTACTTTTCTTCTTTCCCTATTTTCTTAAAAGAGTAATTAACTACAGTTTAAATTATTTGACTTAAAGCACGCATTTGTATAAATTTTGATGAAAATAGCCCATTTTTCTTGTCAAGATATATTCTTGGATTCTTTCACTGAAAAACACTGACATGAGTCAAAAAATGACTAAAATAACTGACTCAAGGACATTGCAACACAGCATTTTCCAGAGACTGGTGTTGCTGATAAGATTGCATGTATTTGAACCAGATTACTTAACCTAAAATGTAATTCATCAAAATCTGATTAGATGACATATAAACTAATACACCCTACATTTAAGATAATGTTTAGCATTTGTAACTGTGTCATAAGCTACTGCCATATAAAATCATTTGACTGCCTTAACCCTCTTCACCATTCTTGTGTCCTCCAGTTACATTAAACTACATTACCCCATCCAGCTCATCAGATAAGAGTTGTCATCCAATCACCTATTATGGTTGATAGGAATTGTCACCCTGAGCTATCCTTGTTTTAGCCCAACACTTTGTACAAGTTAGGCTGACGCTGAATGACATGTGAACCCAATAAACCTGGCCAGAATTAAGTCAACTCCATAGGCTGTGTTCACATAGTCATACTGAAGTGACTAATCATGGTTTACCCTTAAGAGGCTGAATGAATTTGATCAGAGTTAATTTGTGTTTAGATGTTTCCTGCAATTCAGACAACCATACAGCAGCCAAACACCCAGCTCACCTTTCCTGGTCTTGTGAGAGGAGTGGGGTTGAATTTCGGTGATGGGAAGCCTTTGGGGAATTCCAGAACCATAAACTATCTTGAAAAGGCTGGATGTGCTTTTGACTTCAGACCTCAAGCTGACTCAAAGGGCAATCTTATTTGCCAACTCTGAATATGAATGCGAGTCCTGGGAGCAAAACTCCGTGGGTGAGAAAGAGAAGGATACAATGCCCAAACGGATTAGCTACGTCAATCAACGGAAAACTACAACTTGTGAGTCACCAGAATATATATATACACCCTAATACTAATTCATTCGTTTCACTCAGGATACATTTGGATAGGAGCTCAGGGTTCAGGAGGGCGACTACCTCTGGGCCTGTGCTCTGAAAAAAAAGCTTCCTTTCCCGCCAGACTGTTCCCCAAAATAGGGGGGCCCGGCAGCAGCGACGACGCCCCCACCCCCGCTTCTTTGGCGGGTAGTAATTTGCCCGCCTCCTCGTGCTTAGGAACAGCCGAACCCGGATTTGAGAGCTGGGCGCAGCCCGGCGGCTTCTGCAGCCCACAGCCAATGGGCAGCGGCGAGCCTCGTCCTTTTCTTGAGTGGGTTTCCCCGCCCCCTCAGTGACGAAGGCGACGGAGAAGAAAAACGCACGGTGGCCGGCTGTTTGTCTCCATCGCGGTGAAAGGCGCAAAGCTGGAGAGACGAAGCGGAGTCGAAAGAGGTAGCTAACGGTTCACGAGGTAAGGAACGGGAGAGGCGAGAGAGAGGCTGAGGTGGCTGGGCTCCCCCTCTCCTTCTCCCGCCCAGGGAATGCGGAGCAGGGGCGAAGGGGACAGGAAGCAAGGGGAGCCGGGCCGCTTCCTCCCCTTGTGCTTAAGGGCTGAGACCTGTAGCATCCAGCCCCGGGGAGCTTGCGCCTTTTTGCCCGACCTATTTCTGCGCCCCGGAGGGATTCCTCTGTTAATTTCAACGGGATGTAATCTCAGGGAACGCCGTAGGGCAGGATGATAGCCGCGGGAGACCCGAGTTTTCAGGTTGTGTTGCTTCTCTGATGTTCTCTTCCCCCGTTTCCGATTTGTGCACATGGTTGCGGGAGGGTTGGTTGTGCAATCTAGATTTCTCCCATCAAGGATCCAGAGTAGAAGGAGTGGGGGCGGGGGGGACTTAATGGGGGCGTGGATGAAAAGAGAACCAGACGAAAGAAAAGTACCCTGTGGCTTTTTCCTTGATGTCAGAGTTGTGCGGTGCATATAACTGTACACTCAGCACATTCAGCCGCCTTCCTAGGGTAGGGTGGGGGTGCGCTCTGCTGGATAGCCAGTATGACCGTCATTTTTACACAGCCCACTTCTCTCTACCAGCTGGGGATGATGGGACTGGCCCATCTTATCTGCATGGCATTAAATGGTTGTACCTACCATTAAAAGTTGCACCTACCAGCAAGATCTACCTGGGTAGTGCATGGGTGAGAAATCACTTGGCAATTCTGGGTTTTTGTTGTTTTTTTAATATAGCCAGATGAGGAAGATGAAGAAAATTGGCAAACAGTTTTCTGTAATTAAAAGTTAACTGAGTAACTTGGGCTGGTCACTCTCGGATAATCCTACCTCATCGGATTGTTGGGTGTAAAATAGGAGTCTGGAGCATTATTTACACTGCCTTGAGCTTCTTATGATGTTTAAAAGGCTCATATGTTTATTATGGCATAATAAACTAATAGAGACAAAGGTAACTAGAAAGGATGTCTTACTGTTGCACCTCAAAAATATTTCGGCTACCATGGACTGAAAAGAGTGGGACAAAGAGAAGTGTGGGTTGGGGAGTATAGGAAATCCCACAGTAGTTGAGACAGTCTGCCTGTAAATGGGATAACGGGGAATTTGCAGGCACCCCTGAAAAGAATTGGACCTAGTCAAAATACTTTCCCATTTCTTGGATCCATTTCTAGGGGAGAAGTGATGATATTTGCTTTTGCTGAAGAGAACATGTCCTTAAGCAGTTCCAATCTAATTATGATTTCTTATGACTGTTCCCCCCCTTTTTTTTACTGCTATTAAAGAAATGGCCCTGCTGAACACTGCTGATTTTTAACACTTCCATTTTAGGAGTTTGAAAAACTGACCTCCAGGTAGTCTAAATTAAATGCAACATTCTCATTTCCTTTTGCAATCTTTTCATATGATCATGTGTCTGCCTTCTAATGCACTTTGTCACACTTTCTTTGTTGTTTGTCAAACATACAGACTTCCTGAATCTAGTTCTGTGGTGAATGCAAGTAGCTCCCTGGTCCTCTTTTTTGTTGCACAATATTTTATCTTTCATCATAATCTTCATCCAATAGTCTCAGCTTGATGCCTTTCAAATGTATTGGAGAGTACCAATCTCACTCCCCTTAATCAGGTTAAGGGCTTGCAGAAATTTGAGTTACTAAATTTGGAGGGGGTGCTACAGCTAAAGATTGGTTAGGTCACAGCAGATTATCATCTGCATGCAAACAGAAGATGTTTCAGCTTGCATAAATACTTTAAAAAATAGAATAACAATAGTTTTGACAATATATTTTGGTCTATTTTTATCTTTGAATATTATTTGCTTTGAATAAAAGTTGAAATTGAGCAATGCATACTTGAAGTGCAATGTGTGAGTTAAGAAACTAGTATAGTTTAGATTATATACTTAGTTTAATTCACTGATTAAAACAGGTTATTTTAAACCGAATGCATCTTGTACAAGTATTATAGCTAAGCCTGAATGGAACAAAACATGTCTAAATGAGCTTAATTTATATATTTCATCTAATATCAGTTCTTATTTTCAGTGATAAAATTTTTTAAGTGATAGCAAGTGACTTACCTATTGAAGTATGGATACTCTGAAAATATTGAAAAAAGTTGTACATATACAGTATATTAAATGGCCTTTAATGCATTAGACTCATAACAGAGCATACTGTGATTTCAGAAGTGATGCATTAGTTCTACCAAAGTTATCTCAGTGGTATGATGCTTTCATTTTATTCCAGTGAGAATCCTACTATTGTTTGAAAAATGGTTTGTTGAATAAGATGCAATGAATGTACCATAGCTGTATCCAGGAAGGCCAAAATCTAATACGACAAACTACATTCGTCATGTGAACCACACATATCTATGTTGTTTTAAAAACAAAAGGTTCAAATAAGCCCAGTGTATTGATGGACAGAGTTCTTCTTGTTTGGAGAGGTCTAGAAGAAAAGCATTCAAAACATCCCCAGGTGCAGTTTTCTGAATCTTAAGTACATATTCTCTCCAGCTCCTGGTATTAGGGTTAGGGTAAGGTTATTAGGGCTGCCACAAAGACAAGGAATGGTTGGAAATTAATCAAAGAGAGAAGCAACCTGGAATTAAGAAGAAATTTCCTACTAGTGAGGACCAGTCAGTGGAACAGCTTGCCTTCAGAAATCATGGGCACTCCGTCACTGGAGGTATTGAAGAAGACACTAGATAGTCACTTGTCAGAAATGGTATAGATTCTCCTGCATGAGCAGGGGACTGGACTAGAAGACCTCCAAGGTCCCTTCCAGATTCTATTCTATTCTATTCTATTCTATTCTATTCTATTCTATTCTATTCTATTCTAAGCAGGGCACAGGTAAAAGATATAGCTAAAAGTAACTTTGGATTTTGCACATAATGTATGCCATGAGAAGTTTATCACTTGGGATGTGATAGTTCTAAATAATAATACAGGCTGGAAGATAGAATAAATGATGGAAAAGTTATGTTGAGATTCTGGTTTTTCACATTTAAAATAAGTTCTGGGATTTGGGAAACCAGCTCAGAGGTTATTATTAAAATGGCAGAGTGAGTTACTGGAAGTAGCATGCTTCCCTGTTGCTCTAGGTTTTAATCCAAGGAAGCCTCTTTTGTACTGTTACTGCAGGATCCTTGTTCTGTCTCTAGCAGATGGCAAAGCTATAATTTATAGAAAGAAATGGTAATTTGATGGATTAATAACAATTGCGTGTTTGATTAAGGATGAAAACAGGTGGTTTCAGCAGGCCTTTGTCTTTTACTATTCTTAAAAACTGTAGATGTCATAATTGAGACAAAGTTTTAAAAATGTAGTTGGAAAAATACTTTTCAAAACAATGGTAGTCCTCTACTTACAACCATTCATTTAGTGACCATTCAAAGTTGCAACAGCACTGAAAAAAGTTACTTATGACTGGTCCCCACACTACAACTGTCATGCCCCTGTTGGAGACTGACTCCGAGGGAGAGGAGGAACAGCCGACAGGGAGTAGAAGTGTTGCTCCGGAAGTTGTGGAGGAGGCTGGGGAAGGACAGAGGCCAGCTGGGCAGTCAGAGAAAGACCTAGGCCCATCCCCTCTCCATCCTAGGGCATGCAGGGAGGAGAGGATAAGGGAGAGACGTGAATGGTGTGGTCTACAGGGGAGGAAAGAGCCGTGATTCTCTTCATGGGCTGCTGCTGTGAGAACTGGTTAAAAGGACGAACATGCGTATGGGCCAGGCTGGAAACAAAGCATGGAAATATCTTTAGTCTGTGGTTCTTCTCTGAGTTTGGCGTTCTTCCCAGTGTGTGTTACGATATCTGTGGATGTCTTCAAGCCCTTATCTTGCCTGGTTCCCTTAATTGCTTCAGTGTGGTTTGTGTTGTTTTTACTCTTGATAATTTATAGGCAGTTTAGTTTAAAGGGCATTTTCTTCTTTTCATATCTGCTTGTGGGGGAGTTTTTTGTCTCCAGTCAAGGATATTTGGAGCTTGGAAGCAAAACGAAGGAATAAAAGGGGCTTCACCTGTTTTTGTGACTGTGTTTATTTTGTATCCCACCCTGGGTCATCACAACAACCATAGCAGTCACATTATCAAAATTTGGATGCTTGGCAACTGGCATGTATTGGCACATGGTTCCCATTTGCAACCTTCCCAGCCAATGTTCGACAAGTGAAATCAATGGGGGAGCCCAGATTCACTTAACAGTTGCAGTGATTTGGTTAATAACTGTGGTCATAAAAGTCATAAAAATGAGCCCAACTCACCTTATTTAACCACCTTATTCAGCAATGGAAATTCTGGTCCCAATTGTGATGGTAAATTGAAGACTGTCTGTTTTATAACAATTCACATCTACTGTTTTAAGTGGATAAAGTAAGATGTTTGTGTATATAGGTTTTTTACGGATTGTCATGTTAGTGCAAAACTATGTGCCTAATGCAGCACAACAGCTATCCGGTGGATAAAGATAAAACTCTTATGTAGGCTTGCATTGACTATTTGGTTGTATTATCTGGGGAATAAAAAGTGGCTTCCCCCAAAACTGGACCTGGTGACTTCTTCCTGCAGTGATAATTGAGAGAAAAATGGGGTATTTGTATGTATAGTAGTTGTTTTATCGGTAAAACAAGGACAGGGACAGATAAAATCTACAATCCCTTAAGCATAACTACAGAAAGTGATAAACTACTGTATTTTTACTTAATATTATTCTTTAGCGACCCATAGAACAAGAATATCGGCAGAAATAAACACCCTGTAGTTTTTATTCTAAATAATGAATGCAAAAATAGTATTTTTGAAGGAAAGCATATCAGTATTTTGAATCAAGGCCAAGCCATAGCTTTCTCTGACCACACTTCTTTCTTCCAGCTCAGAAAACGTTTCTAGAATCTATGAAGACTAGGAACTTATTCTAAAAAAGTAACAAAGACATTCAAGCTTCTCTGAACTTTCCTTTATTTAGTAATATCAGGAGCTGCATGTATTTTATGCAACTGCACCCATCTGCACCAGTGGTGGGATTCAATTTTTTGTTTTACTACTGGTTCCGTGGGCGTGGCTTGGTGGGCATGCAGGGAGAAGATACTGTAAAATCTCCAGTCAGAGGTGGTATTTGCTGGTTCTCCGAATTACTCAAAATTTCCTCTATCGGTTCTCCAGAACTGATCAGAACCTGCTGAATACCACCTCTGATCTGCACTCAGTTTTAGCAGAAGTTCCAGAGGTGAAGTTTGATAAATAACTGTGACACCTTCTAGGGATTCTAAGAACCTAGCTCTCTATATATATGCCCCAAGATTTGAATTTTTCTCCCATCTATTTGTTGTAAGAAATCACTTGCTGTCCTTTCTTATTCTGATCCCTTGGCGGCACCTGGCCTGTCTTAAGTAGTCTTAGGTGGTGACAGACTGCTAATTTTGCATTTCACTAGTTTCATCCCTCAGTGCCATGGAATATAGTAACAAAAATTAACTGCTCAGTCACAAGGTGATACATTTTATGTTAACTAATTGTTCCTTCCTCCCCTCCCAGTGTCTTAGTTTTTTGTAACCATGGTGGGAGAAGACAATATATCTCTAAGAAATCGCCGAGCTATGTACGGCACTGCGGAAGAGAAAGATGACTTACCAAGCAGGCTGGAAGAAGACTGGCCGTCGTCTGCATCAAGCAATGGTAAGATTTCATGATGAACTGCATGACATACAGCTTGTTCTTACTTGTTTAATGGTGTATTTCTATTTAGTTATTAAATCTTCTAGTATTCGTAAGAGGCATTTCTTTTCTGTTTTAATATGCTGACACATATGTCAACAATTATTTTCTACCTCTTGTCAAACGGAGGCTTATACCTGAAGTAGGCAGCTACTGTTTCCAGATATTTTTGATCTCACCTTCTATTAGCCATGACTGGTATGTCTAATGGCTAGTGGCAGCTGTACTCCAAAATTTAGTTTGTGCATTGAAGAAATTATACTTTAAAGCTGGCTTTGCTTTCTCACCACATTTGACTTTATAAGCTCTTACTTTATAACCTCTTTTTTAACTAGGATGATGACCATTATTTTGGTTTACCAATTGTTATTCATTTATTTACTGATAGGATTTATATACTATCCAATTTGAACATGAGGCTGATCAATAACAAAAAAAGGAACATTAAACAAACGTTGCAAAACTAATGCAGACAATCCACTGCTTACATTCTGAGAGATTATCCGGATGTTTGTTTTGTTCAAGCATAAAAAATATGTTCAATGCAGTTCTTGCCTTAAATGGGAGGTATTCCAGTAAACTTTGGGTGGGCCCAGAAGAAGCAATGGGGGAGGAGACAGGGAGCAGGAAGCTGGCCTTTTCCTGCCTTCTCCCAACTTCCTTTCCCGCCTTCTTCTGCCAACACCCAGGGTTCTACAGTTTATATGGGGTGAGAACTGTCCTGTACTTATTCATAACTTCAGCTTAGAGGCTCCTGGAGGTTGGAAGAGGATAAGTTGGTTTCTGTGGTGCCACCTATGTATGGGGGTGCAGTGGAAACTGGCTTGTTCCTACCTTCTCCTGCTTTCCAGGTGGCGACAGGTTTGTTCGTATTGACGAAGTTCATAACTCGAATGTTTGTTAGTAATGTCTGTATATCATTAAAACCAAATAAACAATGAAAGGCAAATGTAGTGTAATATAATTCCTAAAAATGGGGAGCCTACTAGGCATGTCTCCCTGTGTCCTATAAGATGATGTTTCAAAGAAGAAATCTGGAATGTGCCTTTCCTATCAGAGTGCGTGGAACAAGCAAATATTTGTGAGACCAGATGGTTCTGTAAACATCCCAGTCCTTTGCCATGTAGGGCTTTATTGGTGACATTAATGATACTTGAATTGTATTTGGAAGTTATTGGGACCCAATGCAGTTCTCATAGTAGAGGTATGAAATAGGGTGATATAAGAAGAAATGTCCTTAACCGTCCATTCTGCTGGCATTCTGGTCCAGTTACGGCTTCCAGATGGTCTTCAAGGGTAGCCCCGTCTAGGCAGAAGGTGCCGAAAGGCAGGAGTAACTATGAGGAGAGTTCCAAGATCTAGGAGTATGCCCAGTCGGCACACGAAACAAAATTGTACAAAAGCTTCCCCGGCTATAGTTATCACAGGCTCTTCAAACAGCTGTGAGTCCAGGAGGAACTTCAAATTGCATACTGAATCTGCATGAGGCAATTCAACCCCTCTCAAAGTCAAGGATAATCTCTCCAGACCAGTGGAGCCAAAACCCAAAGCAATTTGGTCTTGACAGGATTGAGCCAAAACCTCTTGGTCATCCAGACCCCTGCCACCTCCAAACATTGGACAGAACCTTAACATGTTGACTTAAATGGCCAGAGGCAGAGGTGTACAATTGATGATACTGTACCCTGTGTAGGTGAATAGTTTTCCCCAGCAGTTTCAGGTAGATATTAAAGAGGAGAACAAAGAGCTCCGTGGCACCCAGTAATGCAAAGACTTAGGAGTAAACCTCTTCTTCCTCCAACACCGATTGCAACCATCTGTAGACAAAGGACAAAAACAACTACAAATAGTGCCCCCCACTCCATTCCCAAAATGGTCAAGGAGGACCAGGATGGATACACTGGCTCAATCCCAAGTCTGCCTCCCAGAGGTCATCCACAAGTGCAACTATTCTTTAAGAAAGCTGTTAAGACTGCCATGTAAGTAGGAGTCCTCTTATGATTGTTTGCATAATGCTTGGCACCATATTGTATCTATAATTTATTGTATTACAAGTAGTCCTTGATTTACGACCACAATGGAGCCCAACATTTCTGAAGTGAGACATCAATTAAGTGAGTTTTCCCCCATTTTACAACCTTTTTTTTGCCACAATTGATACTATAAGTTAATAACCAGGTTGTTAAGTGAATCTGGTTTCCCCCTACAGTCACAATGTCTGAGTTAGACAGCCTTATACATGTTATAAATAAAACATCTAAGGCTATCAGTACTGTATCTGACTGAAAGAGATACCGGATAATCTGCTTCCTTGAGGATCTTTTGTAGTTGTAGGTGAACTAACTTCTCAAAAGGGAAGATTGAAGAGTGGATGAAGATTGTCAGATCCAGCAATAGTTTTTTAGAGAAGGAGGTAGGCCACAACCCCTTTGAAAGCCAATGGAATCACCTATTCTTTTAAGCAAGCATTAACAGCTGCATGAACCCATCCACCCAACCTATCCCAGTAATACAAGCCAGCTGATTTGCATGAGAAAAGAATATTTACACATTGTTAATTATTCCTATGTGATGTGATGAGCTGAGCCAAAATCAGTGGAGGCACTTCCTTGTATCTTTGGCAAAAGGGGATCTGTTCTTGATTGTTACCATTGTTTTTCAAAAAACGCTTTTCTTTTTAATTGAGAAACAAACACTCCAACTAAATTGGATTCAGTCGGGTTAGTTAACGGATATTACTCAGAATCACATGCAAAGTCATGCTTGGCTATTTTCCAGGAATTTTTCCCCTGAACTTTTTTTACCCTCTAAACAACCTTGGACCATAATCAAGTGAGTAATTTGCCTTGAGGGAAGTATATAAGGCCTTGGCTCTGTAGTCCTGGACTTGTAAGATATAAATCAGTCATCCTGTAACTGAGGCTATCTTTGGTCATTTTTCAGAATTGTATATATCAATGCCAGGTTGATTAATATCTCTGAGAAAGGGATAAAAGGAGTGCAAAGTTGTTTTTTCTTCCCAGGTTTCTTTTTTTTTCTTCCTTTTCTCTTCTGATTCTGCATTCATTTGCCATTACTATTGCAGAACAATATTTCTATGCAATTTTATCTTCTATTTCAGACATCATGCTCCCAAAGTAGTTTACCCCAACCATATAATTAAATATAAATGTAATTATATAGCATTCAGCTAATTACAGCCTGCTAATTGGGTAAAAAGAAATGGGTAGAAGTACACCGAAAGATATGTGTGTTGACTGCTTAATTTAGGTCATAAATGAGTTCTGCCATTCTCTTTCTGAAAACCTGTTGAGTATTGGCCAGGGTACAATTTACAGGAAAGATTTTTTTTTTTACTCTGAATGCTACCACAGTGATGGTAACTTACAAAAAGCACAAGTGCCTTTGCACTAGGCTTTGTTTGTCACATCAGCATAAAGCACATCTTGTCATTACAAAGCAAGCTCAAGAAGGGTCATGAATTTCTATTGACCTGTAGTCCTGTAATTTTAGGCTTCAGTAGCTGCTGGCCTGTGTAGTCTGTTTTGTAATATTTTGTGACTCTGGATATGTTTTTATTTGGAACATTGTAATTAAAAAAAACCCCTATTCGTTCTTGACTCCCCCCTTCTCCCAAGGAAACAGAGATCGTGAATAGGTGATTCAATATTAATGTTAATTTAATTTCAATATTAAATTTTCAAAGTAATTTCTCCCAATCATTTGGTTATGTTTTATCTATGCTGATTTGGTGGGAACTACTAATATTAGATTTCTTTGCAAAATCTGATGTGTGGAAGGAAGCTTGGTTATCCAAACATAGTTTCATGGATGTAGAATTTTGCCTAGCTTTTTTTTTCCACCCAGTTTCTCCAAGCACCTAAGCAGGGATAATTTCTAGATGCTTCTACCTAAGATTCTTTACAGAGCAACAATGACTCTTGTTCAGGTGTAATTAAGTTTAAAGTTCTAGGAGAACCTCATATTATCAGCACAAAGCTGACTGTCATAAATCTTTTTCTTTCTTACTAACAACAAGGACTCAGCAAGGATAATCTGTGGAGAAAGGTCCTTAACCCTTCACTGATGATTCCTCTCTAAATTTTCCTCAATGGCGCCCCTTTACTTTTTAATATAACAAATACTGCTCTGGAATCCCTGACCCACAACTTTTTTCAGCTGCTACTTTTTATTTTAAATCAAATTTGAAACAGTTGTTTTCTCTCACTCCTTTGAAACAGAAGAATAGTGATTCACAGGCATGGATGTTTCTCAGTTATCAAAATGAATTTAGGTAACAATAACATCCTTTTGATAGTAATCCAGCATATTTGGAGAGCACCAGAATGGTATACCCTTATGCATATTTCTTTCCTAACCACAGTGAAAAATATTTGCACAAATTAGAGAAGTTTCAGGTTGCATTAGAAGCCAGTTGTTCTCATCCAGACTTCATTTGGTCAAATATCATGAGTGAGGTCATCTTTTAAACTGCCTTTAAAATTGGGCAAGTATAAGAGGAAGTACAAGCAAAAACAAACTGGTTTAGGAAAAAGTAATAATTAGACTGAACAAAGTTATGTTTTTTCTTTTTGGTGAAATTGCCACTTCCACTAGAATTGTAAATTATCACAACAAATATTCCAGGTTCCAGTATTAATTTCCAAAGTAACTAGGTATCTGCAAGGCAATTCACAATCAGCAAATTCTAGCTAATCGTGATTTATAAGGGAGAATTAGATAATATTTGGAAGTATTGAAATTTTTTGATGGAATAAAAGTCCTTAATCTGAGAATACATGGGAATGGAATCATCTTTGAATGGGGACGAGCGGTCTGCCACCTCCAAGTGGTGTCCCCTGGATGCGCGAAGCCGTCAAACGCTGACCGTAACTGAGAGCAGACCCTCCGACGACAGGCCCACGCGACAGGCCGGCTGGAGTACTCAAATGCCGCATCAA